AATATCTCATGTAATCTCTCAGTCACGTGTTATATCGGTAGAATTACAATCAAACTTCCACTTACAGGTAAGTGTCGTTTAATTTTTAAATTCTACCTGAAGAACACTTGACACCTCTACAGCCTATTGTATTCACACCTATGCAGTTTTAATTAATAGTATACTCTCCTTTGTAATTTTTACCTTCACACCTATTGTTTCTAGCATAACTTTCACGTATTGTATGTAAATAGCCTAGCACTTAGCCTTTTGTTCTATACCATGTATATATATCTAGATTATAGGAATGTTTATCATTAAATACTGTCTGATGAGTGCGTAGCACGAAACTCGGAGTTACAGCAAAATCTTGCCTCTTTGATATCATATATATTATAATTATTATAACGTTAAACGATAACTCATGTGGACACACGCACGTTCTTGTTTTTAATTACCCTGCTGATCATTCCAGAACCAACGGAAACGAGACCTTCACAATATGGGATTTATTAAGCTGTCCGCTGCACTCTGTGCATGCCTAATTGCACTAATCGCTGTTGAGAACAAAGCATGCAAAAAGTCAATCGATTTTCATCGACATCCGGGCATCAAGCTTCAGGGTCACGTGATTAAAAAGATGACAGCATCAGACTTGGTGAATTGTGTGACTGAATGCGGTAAAACAAAGGGATGCCTATCGATTAATTCTCACAACGCTGGCAACGTCATACACTGTGAGCTTAACAAGTCCAACCGGTATGGCAGGCAAGCAAACCTGGTTAAAACCAGTTTTGGTCATGAGTATTTGGAAATGGTAAGTTTAAACAGGAAGACCACCGTCACATATTAGATGTTTCCAATACGTCACATTAGCCTCGGTTGGATCCAGTTGGCCACCGCTGGCCGCCCCATTTCCAGATTAGCTCACTAGTGGCAATTAATTTATTTAAAGATTAAAGAATACCCTATCAATGTCAAGATACTGAGGGATCTGTAATTTTAGAGTGTGTAAAAGTTAAAAACGTTTTTTTAAAAAAGACTTTTATGCCTTCACACTCACAATTGTATCAAAAGTATAACAAGACTAGGCTTTTTGTGCTACTTTGTCCTTGCTCGGTTTACTGGGCATGCGGTAGATATAAGAACAACTCCCAGGTTGGGTAAAATGGCTGTAAGCAAGCTTACAGCCGTAGACTTATATCAGTTGTCAAATTCATATTTCCTGTCTATTTAGGATTTGAAAATCTCTCGGTATGTCCGGTATGATGTTTATGGCGATTATGAGTTTTAAAAAGTATAGTATATTTTAAACTAAGACATAAATTTCGATTGAACTTTTTTATATTCAGATATTCAACCCTGATTGGTCCGATGCTTGCTTTCAGAAAGGTTAGTTAAGACTACAATATTAGCCGATAACAAAACGAGCAGGGGCCTGGGACTGAAAATTTTAAAAGTGCTACAATCTTACAGAAATCTGTTGTTGATAGATAAAGCACATATAATTTAGCTAAACTTTAAAGTTTGAGCAAGTTTAAGTCATTAGAATTGGGAATATAATTTTTCAAAAATTTCGAAAATTACAAAGAATGTATGTTTGGCTGGACGCTTTGGCTGGACACCATACATTTCTTTGTAATTTTGGCATGGTTTGAATGTCCATAACTTTATTGCTATAAGTTCAAACATCATGAAACTTAGTCAGTAAGACTTTTATAAGGTGCTCTTTCACATGATGGGGTTATTCTTTCTGGAACCATTATTTAATTAGATTTGGAAGTTCGTACCCAGTCCCTTTTCGTTTTGTTATCGGCCAATTGTAGCACACGATTTCAACGTATCGATCGAGCTGGTTTAAAAAGTTGAGAACAAAGTTTCGTTTTGCTTTTCATATTTTGGAAGCACTCGATGCAATAGCCCCATGTGGACAAAAAATAATACTCCAAAAAAGCAATGCTCCAGTTTCGAATTCTCTTGCGCAAAGAGCCGACCAAACACAGAAGAGAGCGTCGTTATTACAATACATGGTTAGCCTCTACTCGGGGAAAATCTAAATTGTTAGCGCTATTGTAATAACAACATTTCTCGTGCTTTCTTTTATGTTTGGTAGGTTCTTTGCGTAAGAGAATCTGCTGTCAAATAAAACAGCGGTTATTCGCTTTGAATTCAAAAATGGAGTATTACAAGGCAAAAATAGCACTCCCAGTAGTATACCCCCCCCTATATAGCGGCACTAGGGGAGGGGTGGTCATCTAAAATTACAGCGTCATTTAGAAAGGGGAGGGGAGGGGTGGTCACCTTAAAATATAGCGTCGGGCTGGTCATCTAAAATTAAAGTCTCATTTAGGGAGGAAAGGGGTGATCGTCTCATTTGGGGAAGGGTGGTCCAAGATTATGTCATTTTTTATAGCGTCATATGTCATTTTTTTATAGCGTCATCTGTATAATATTTAGGCTGATGATTTTTATGATCGGTGCACACGTATCCTCAACGTTTTGCTTATAGCCCCGTCCCCAAATGACGCTATAAAGAATTACATAATGACCACCCTTCCCCAAATGACGCTATAATATTAGACGACCACCCCTCTCCTCCCTAAATGAGGCTATAATTTTAGATGACCAGCCCGGCGCTATAATTTAGGGTGACCACCCCTCGCCTCCCCTCTCCTTTCTAAATGACGCTGTAATTTTAGTTGACCACCCCTCCACTAGTGCCGCTATATAGGGGGGTATACTACTACTCCCATCCACTACACAAAGATATTTTTATTGCATTTTCAGATGGTTGGTATCGAAGCCAGTCTGCCGCGTATAAGTTTGTTAACGAGATTGTGGACGCTCTAGAAGCTCGGCAGCGCTGTCAAAAAATGTCGGCAGACGCAGATCTGGTGTCTTTTATCGACAAAGAGGAGGAGCACATTTTTGATCAATATCTTAAAGGTAAGCTTTTATTATATTGCGCAAAGAAATCATGCCGCTTTAAATCGCTCGTTATATATATATATATAATATATATATGAGCGATGTTATTGTAAAAGGTACTTAAGCTGYTAAGGTCCCTTTTGCTCTCGAGTCTCTACGCTAGGCACCACTGGTCGCGGGCGTGTTCTTTAGGGCCTTTTTGCTTTGACAACACTCATATATATATATTTAGATCCTTTAAGAGGTCACATGCAGTTAGCCTTTTCATCTACGAAGAATAAAGAAAAACAGTTCTTCGCTCTCTTTCTAGGCGTCCGTCAGGGATATTATTTTTGGATTGGATTCAACGACCGTGCAAAAGAAGGAACCTTTGTTTGGTTTGATGGAACGAAATCTAATTACACAAACTGGAAAAAGGGAGAGCCAAACAATAACAACGGGAGCGAGCATTGCACAATGAAAAGTCAAGGAAGCAAGAAATGGATTGACCAAAAATGTTATATGCGATATCCATTTGCATGCAAAGTGTTATGCTCTTAAATGATATACTTATTGACGACTTTCAAAAATGGCGCGATATATGTTACGGCCGCCGACCAGGGACTAAAACGAGGTCTCAAAGGACAGTCTTCGTATAGTAAACGTCGATGGTGTCTTGCAAGAGTGTTTTGTTATAAATAACATACCAACACATCTTTCAAGCTTTTGGACACTGCCTACATACGATCTTCGTTGACTTTTAGAAGGCCTTTCGGGTCTCGTGTTTCCATGATTCGTCACTAGTCCCCCGATTTTGTTGGTCGTGAACTGCAGGTATTTTTGAAAGTCGTGTATGTCATTGCGTTCAGTCAAAAAGATTGCTAAAAACCACCAGACTACAATATCAACATTCACTTGATATTTAAATACTGTTATTTCAGAAAACGTTCAATACTGAAAACAGAATTCAGAAACACACTATGCATGGGGAGTGCTAAAACTGCTAAAAATTGAATAAAAGTTAAGCTTATCTTGAAACTCCAGCTCGCATTCTTTCACAGCTCAACCTAGCATATCAAACTTATTGCCATACATCGGGTGACATTTGCTTAGATCTTTTGATATGTTATAAATGAAGAGGCCGAAAAAGAGCACAAATACGACATTTTTTAAAAGAATATAAATTTATCGGTCATTAGAAAAGCAAAAAGCTTTAAAAAAGTATCTCGGATTTTGCTCTCCAAAACCCTGGGACTCTCCAACAACCGCTTTTACTTCAGTACCCGGCTTCATAAGAATAATCAAAACCATAGGCATAAATCGCTCAAAATTGAAGAATTGAAGGAAACACCGGCCTGAAACTTCACAGAAGTTTAAAGAAAAACACAATACACAGGTAGAGATGTTTGCTTTTGTTATATTTTAAATATTTCTAAAAATTACACAAACTGCCTAGCTTGGGCTAACTGTGATCGCCTGGCCATTTTTCATGCTCAACTCAAACTCTTCAAAGGCGAAAATACATACTTGGATTTTCAAATTTTCTCACGAAGAATACATAGAAAGGTCACATGTTTTATTTCTTAGGTTTTTAGGATTGTCTTTAATATCATTGCATTTCTTCAAAAAGTCTTGAATACTAACTATTATTATATGACACGTTTTTCGGCCCTACGTGCGCTCTTAAAAAAAACCTTTGGGAAATGGTCACGTTTTTTCAAAACCCCTTTTTTCTAGTCTCCTCGCAGCCGTGTTTAGTTTCGGTCACGCGTCACGCAACCTGTTGCGTGACGCGTGACCGAAACTAAACACGGCTGCGAGGAGACTACTTTTTTTCCCTCCATATACGAACACTGTATTTATACTTTCTATTAAGCGGACTTTCTCGTAAGCGGACGCGGACACTTTTAGCGATTCCCAATTGACCTTTTCTATTTTTTTCAATCCCCCGTAAGCGGACACTTAAATCCAACTAGACCCTGTATGCAGGGTTGACACGTACCCTTTGTTGTGCATGATGTTGTGAAATCATTAGTAAACTAGACCCTGTATGCAGGGTTGACACGTACCCTTTGTTGTGCATGATGTTGCGAGATCATTAGTAAATGAGGCCTTAAACCTTAATGATACAAAATAAAGAAATGATTTGATCCATCGAGCCTTGCCAAGATATATGTGATTTTTGCGATAAGCTTATATGTGGTGGCTCTTAAAATTTCAGCTGTAACTGCCTTTGTGATTCTGCAGTATAATTTTAAGGTCAGATATACCCGGAGATATATAACTAGGCATGATTTGGTTATATTACAACGTGACGCTTTATTAACTTTTGATATGATAGTAACACAATATGTTTGCACATCTACATTAAAACTCGACATGTAGGATTCATTTCCTTTTGAGACTCTTTTAATTGCGTAAGGTTCTACAATCAACAAATACAAAATACATTACCTACATAAAGTTACATTTGGGGACCGGTAAAACGAAGTAAAATTACATAAACTTACCAAATCGTGAACAAACCCACACACAGAAATTACGCCAAACTGAATAAATTAACTAACTG